AGCAGACTCCCCGCCAAGCAGGGAGCCCAATGCGCGACTCGATCCAGGGACTCCAGGATCATGACCTGAGCCGAAGGCAGTCGCTTAACCAACTGAGCCACCCAGGCGCCCGTGACTTGGCTTTGTTTGTCCTCCAGGTTGGTCTGATCTCTGAGACGCAGACCTTGACATGACTAACTCTTGTGACTTTTTTACAAAGCACACTGCCTGGCCAGCCATGCCACTAGTTAGATTAGTGCCCCCATTAAATGGAGGGGCTTTCTCTTCTGCAAGGAGCCAGCAATAAATTGACAACCTATTTCAGAGCCAGGGACGGTGTTGGCCGCTCTAGATACATAGTCCATTCGATCCTAAAAGATCCCAGGGTGAGTCAGAATTCAGGATACCAATGCCCCAGGCTGCTGCTTCTGGAAAACACACCTTCCTTCTTTCAGAGACCTGCTCCCCTCCTCCCCCACCATGAAGACCATGTTGGTAGAGTGGATGTGGCCAATCACGTCCTCCACTCCTCCAGCCACAGTAGCAGTATGTGAGCTGAGCTCATGAGAACACCTCCCCCTCCTGCCCACCAAGACGGGGTGTGTGACCTCAAGTCGGCTAATCGTAGCCCTTCTCCAGAAGGTTTTCAATAGAGCATTATAGGGGAGGATCCCTTTCCTGGTAAAGAGGTGAGGAGCAGGCTAAAAGGTGAGACCCTGGTCTCTAATCTCACTGGGAAAGCTGGCTGAAGAGAACGAAACAGACCCAAGGACACAAGAGTCACACTAAGAAAATAAACTTTCACAGCACTGAAGTCCCTGGAGATGCACAACGCACGGTGCTTCCAGGTGTGGGCTCGGAGTCAGACTACCTGGGTAACCTTGGGCAAGAACGCCTCGCAACCTGAGTTCCACATCTGTAAAAAGATAATAATAGTACGTAACTCATGGGGTTGTTGTGAGGATTGAACGAATTAACACATGTGAAGCATGGTGAACAGTGCTTGGCACGTGGTCATCTCACAACAAATAGTAACTGTTATAAGCTGCCGCACCCGTGTCCTGCCTTCCGTTTGGTTACCCGAGCAAATGTCTAAGCTAGCGTTGGGTCTCTGTTATTTACAACTGAAGAGTCCTGAGGGGTGTAGTCATGATTTTTCTAAATTCCTGGATCCCATGAGATGCTTAGGAGAAAGAGTTTCCATAGATAAGTTTGAGCCACTCTTGGAGATTCCTTGTGTTCTCATTTATACAGCTCCCCTCTTTGATAATCTCATTATATGTAAATATAGTAAAGGCTCTGAGTGACCCTACGACTAAAAAGCCAGTAGAACTTTATTCAACCTGGCCCTTCCCAAACTTAATTTTTAACTCTGTTTCTTTGCTTCTTTCCCGGGATCCTTGTTTTTTATTCTACAAAATTAGCATTCCACAAAATACACTTTGGTGTGATGAGCAGAACATAAAGATGAGAAAGCCGAAGGATATGCTGTGGGACAAGGTGAACCCACATCTGTTTGAATCTAGAATATACACCCTTGGGACACCTGGGTGGCTCAGTCAGTTAAGCTTCTGCCTTTGGCTCAGGTCGTGATCCCAGGGTCCTGGGATCGAGCCCCACGTCAGGCTCCCTGCTCCACTCATGCTCTCTGTTGTTATCTCTGTCTCTCTCTCTCAAATAAATAAATAAATAAAATCTTAAAAAAAAATAGAATATACACCCTTTCCATGGTTTTGAACACATACACACAGAAACACAACGTAAGTATCACTCACCATTTGGAAGGTAAGTGTTCGACATACTGGTTTTGAGTTTGCTTTTCTCTTTCACGTGTTACTTGGCCAGAGAACAAAGTTTTGAGCGCTTGCTCTTATAGATTCATATATACCATGCAAAATGAAGTGGAATTAAATCTTTCTAAGACAATCTTGAATAAAAATGACCTGGGACATGCATAGCCTCTTCTCTGAAAAATTATAAGAAAGATGGCTTTTCTTTTTGGGTCGCCAGAGCCCATTACAGAAGAAACACTAGCTTGGATGATGTTTTCATTCTAATCCACACCATCGGATACCTTTGTCTTCATTTGCAGGAGGGCCAAATTATTGCACAAGTTCTCACATGTCCCTCTGGACCAAACTCTAGCTTCTGATTATGCAAAGCTATGTTATCGAATCTGGGCAATGGATATTATTCCTGTTATCATTATTACTGTTGTGGGTTGGTATTGATTGTTGGGCCCTAAGAATTGTCAGGGGGGACTTTTGGGCCAAATGAGAGACCCAGTTCCCTCTGGCAGCCATACAATCTAAATTAGACTGAGTTGTATAACAGTTTTAGGCATCTGATATGGGACTTGCCAAATTTCATGGCTTCAGGCACACGGAATGCACATCCCTGTTCCAGGGAGGCTAAATATTTTTCCAAATCAGTAGATAAAACAAACTCCCTGACCTCAACTTACTTCCTGGCGCCTGGTGTCCTGAGTAGCTGATGAAGAGTGTCTGTCTGCTATCAAGTGACGGGACACATTCAGACTGACTCCTGCCCTCAAGACCATGTGGGACCTGATCCTGTCTCCATCTTCGGAGCTGAGCTTTTGGCCACAACTTAAAGATCTAAGTCCAGAGGGCAATGGGCCAGGGTTAGATACCATTAAATGCCATTGAATCAGCCTTGCAGGGCAACTGTGGCTTCTTAGGGCATGAGGCAATGCGCTACAGCTGGACGCCGATGAGAGCCTGCGATCACAGACCCCAGGGAAACCAAGCCTCCCACGTCAGATCTGAACTGGAGAGGTGGCCACACCGCTGTCTTAAGTAAATACACGCACAGATTTTAGACCTCCCAGTGCCAGCCAAGGAGGGAGTAAATCCACTGAAGGGAACCTGAAGCTTCTGACCCCAGGGCTTGGTTGGGTAGACACCTGCACTATTTGGCAGTGACATCTACTGACTGTATCAGACACCACCCGCCACCTTACGTGTCAAACGAGAATTAGCGAAGCTTTGAGGACTCAACGGAAGGCCAAAGGGGGCAGGGGGCAGGGAGGATTTCCCATGGGTGGTCCAGAGAGAGATCAGTAGAGAAGGGGCAGCACAGATATTAAAAAGCATTGTCGAGTGTTCCAGACAATAAAAAGGAATTTCCTACCACCACTAAGTCCTCGGAGGCTTCTCAGGAGAGCTACTATAAATGGGCCAGGCACTGTTTTGGAGGCTTTCTGGGTCCATCCGCTCATCTCCGCGGCACTTCCCTGGAGGTCTTCCCTGCAGTCAGTTGCATTTGCCTGGTAGACTCTTGGGCATCTGCACTGCTGTACCTAGGTATGCTTTTCTCCCCACTTTCTCCTCTCCCTGCCCCAGCCTCCTGCGAATAAGCTATATTTGATCAAAAGCCTGGATTCCTCTCTCTTCTTTTTACTGAGTCATCGAAATAACTTTTTTTCTGACATCTGCTGAACCCAGCGAGCCCTGCAGCCAGAGTCCCCCCTCGCGTCCTACTTTATATATGGAAAGACACGGGACCCCACTTCATTCCAAACTGCCCCAAACCTCCCAGCCACCCCTTTTCCCGCAAAGGCCACCAAGCGGCCAGTGCCAGTGAGCGGGCTGCTTGAGGGGGCTGCTCATCCCACCGTAGGTCCCGACTGTGCACCCTGGAGAGCAGGGAGAGTGTCCCTTCCCACTTCTGCATCCCTCAGTCCTACCTGGAGGCCTTTAATAAATGCTTACTGTATGAATGAATGATTGAGAGGCCTGTTTTAATTCATGGACACCAGTGGATTGAAAAGGTTCTGCTCAGAGCTACCCTCATGCCCAAATACTCAAAATTGGAAACACGGAAATTAAACATTTTCAAAGAAAAATTGAGTCTGGCTTCCTGGTCTTTTCTATCATTGTCTATTTTTTTTAATTAAAATAAATTTTTAAAGAAGGAACTCCTTGGGGCACCTGGGTGGCTCAGTCGGTCAAGCCTTTGGCTCAGGTCAGGATCCCAGTGCCCTGGGATCAAGTCCCACATCCGACTCCCTGCTCGGCGGGGAGCCTGCTTCTCCCTCTCCCTCTGCCGTTCCCCCTCCCGACACTTACACCCTCTCTCCCTCTCTCTCAAATAAATAAACTCTTTAAAAAATAAAATAAAATAAAAAAGGAACTCCTTTTGAACATTTGTCTCAACTAAGATCACAACACAGTGTCCTAAGTTCTGTAATTTTCTCTTTAGGGAAGTTGGTTTCAGTTCTTCAAGGGAATGCTCAAAGAGGAATCCTGCGCACTGAGAGTCAGGAGCTGAATCAGGAATTGGCATCGCCTCCCAGATCTTAGACTGGGGGCCTGCTTTGAAGAGTGACAGCAGAAGGCTGAGAATTATAGTTGCGATTGAGTTAGGAAAATAACCTTGGCTTTCACTGCTAAAAAAAAAATTCTCCTTTCCTACATGAAAGCATTTTCCATCATTTTTATTTGGTAGATAAAATGCATGTATGGGAAACAGTGCTTTTTAAATGTTGTAACCAAGATTAGCTGCTCAGAACATCTACATGTAAATATGCTGTTTTAGTCCTTTTGTTATTGTTTAGTCCTTTTGTTATTGTTCTAACAACAATATTATTATTGTTATTACTTTTCCTCTGGGGAAAGAGGCATCTCAACAAACCTCCAAGGGGAAAGGGACTCCGGGTTCCAAAGGCAATAACTTCTTTTCGCAACTACTGGGGGGCCTATCAGGATTTTAGGGTGGGTTTTCATGCTGTCGGAGGTTGTTGAGTAATTATGAAAATTAAACTCTGCAAGCAAGATGTGGTAGAATTATTTGATCTCATCCCTTCTGACTTCTTTTTGGGGGGCACTGGACGTCTGTCACTTGGAAGGGAGAAAGATACAGGAGTGAAGAGATGGAATGAAGCGGAGATCATCTAGCACCCCGACAAAAAGATGGCATGTGAACCATTTATTCCACCAAGGGTGTCTGGCACACCTCGGTGCTTAATCTGGAGCACTAGGAAGATAAAGATGACTCACCATTTAGCCACATCCATGGAGACAAAGGGGTGATAATTGCCAGCCAAGGGCTGACCTGTTAGAAAATGCCGAGAGGCACACTGGTACGTCGTCGTGCTGGGGTTCTGCCTCCACGGCTTCTCCTGCAGAGGGGCGGTCACTGCTGGTGTGACCAGCAAGGGGGGAAATGGGAAAGAGAAGAAAAGTTGCTTAGGCATTCTCTCTTGGGATAGCATTTGGAAGGTTAGGTATCTTTAATACCCCAGGAACTAGGAAGCAAGGCGGCTCACTCTAGTGGACCCCAAACAGAGAAGACTTGGCCCAAGGATTATCGTGCTTCCTATAGCGGTCAGTAATTCTCTGCCTTTTGTCACTTCCTGGCTCTCAGGAAAGTCTCTCTTAAGTGACATAACCTTGGCTCAGCTGTGCTGTAGGCATGCGTGGAAAGGTCATGCCGCCCTGTTTAGGCCGGTTTTGTTAAAGGGGAAATGATACTCGCCGCTCTCACCACTCCCCCCAGGCAGCATGGAGTTGGCGGCAGGAATGCATATAAGAGGACCCCCCCCACACACAGCGCAGTGGAACGTGGGCGACAAACAAGAGGCCATAGGATCCAGCGATGCCTCCTCTCCAGGAGATTCTCTTTCCAGGGTTAACCTAGAAGGACCTGGTTTGTTTGTTGGTTTGTTTTTATTAAATTAGGGGAGGGGGACAATTACTTTCAGGCACTACTGTTTCCTAGATGAAATGATCTGATATCTAAAATGAAAGAAGTTGTTATAGACTGAATTTTGTCCCCCCCCAAATTCATATGTTAAAACCCTAACCCCCATTTCAACTGTATTTGGAGAAAGCCCTTTAAAAAGGTAATTATAGTCAACTGAGGTCATAAGGGTGGGGCCCTAATCCTACAGGACTGGTGTCCTTATAAGAAGAGAAAGAGGGGCACCTGGGTGGCTCAGTCAGTTAAGTGTCTGACTCTTGATTTGAGCTCAGGTCATGATCTCAGGGTCATGAGATCGAGCCCCATGTCGGGCTCCGCACTCAGCGGAGAGTCTGCTCCTCTCCTTCTCTCTTGCCCTCTGCCCCTCCCCCCATGCTCTCTCTCTCTAAAATAAATGAATAAATAAAATCTTAAAAAAAAAGGAAGAAGAGGAAGAAACACCAGAGAGCTCTCTCTGGTGAGCCACAGAGGTGGTGGTCTACAAGCCAGGGAGAGAGGACTCACCAGAAACCCACCCTGACAGCACCTTGACCTTGGACTTCTGGCCTCCAAAACTGTGAAAAAAATAAATTTCTGTTGCTTAAGCCACTTGGGCTGTGGTATTTTGTCCTGGCAGCCCAAGTGGACTAACACAGGAGGCAAGGCCCCTGGCTCCCAGAATAGCCTTGCGCTTTGCTGAGGTGACTGTTAAAACACTGTATTCACAGATGTGAGTTCTCTGAGGACTTTTCCTCTGGGGAAAGAGGCATCTCAACAAACCTCCAAGGGGAAAGGGACTCCGGGTTCCAAAGGCAATAACTTCTTTTCACTTAGCAGCATTTTCTTTTCCAGAAAACATCCACATTCTGAGAGAGGATTTAATTCTTGTATCTGCAAACCCCTTGTCGGTATTTTATATTATTACTCAGCAAGTTCTGTATTCCTGTTTGTCTCCTGCAGTAACTTCCAAATGCTTAGCATGTTGCCTGGAACACCCCAGGCCCTCGGTCATTATTTGTCAACTGCCATTGAACTTCAGAAGGAAATATCAAAGACTGCATTTCTGAGTTTCAAACTTGCTGAGGGCAAGAATGAAAGTGTTGAATTTATCCTTATATCCCAACCCCAGGGCACGTAAGAGAGCGTATACAATAGTCACTCCATAAATGTTGCCTCCAGTGAAATTTGACACTTACAAAAACTCAGCCATTGTAAATATCTGGTTGAAAACTGCCAATTCTACTTTCATTTGGATGAAGTTTGCTCACGTTTGCCTCAGTTTGACTCAGGTTTCTCAATCTGGCTTATGCAATACTCCTGGCATCATGGGGGAAAGCATCGTAAAGCGTCAGTGTTAATATAATCAGCAGAACGTCTGAGTCGTAACTAAGACATAACCCAGGAATTTGAAACGCAAATAAATCATTTTTCTTGAAGTATCTGAACCAAAACACGTAGTAAATACGATCCAGTAATACATATGGTTAAAGAGACTGGAACTTTAATATATAGCAATTGGGGGGCACCTGGGGGGCCCAGTCCATGAAGAGTCCAACTCTTGATCTTGGCTCAGGTCATGATCTCAGGGTCATGAGATAGAGCCCCACATCAGGCTCCACGCTCAGGGTGGAGTCTGCTTCAGATTCTCTCCCTCTGCTCATCCCTCCCACTCGTGCATGTGCAGTCACTCGCACGCTCTCTCTCTCTCTGAAATAAATAAATAAATCTTAAAAAAAAAAATCTAGCAGGTTTTTTTGCAGTGTTGAATTTATAAAACAGATCCCTTCTTTGTGATGCACTTTACTTTTAATAATTTGAAAGCTGTCTCTAACCCTTATATGGTCAGAACTGGTTGAATTGAATACAGATAACGTTCATCATAGAAGAGCAGGACAATTATTCATTGAGATTATTGACATCTCTATAACTAAACTAAATCTCTCCCTCGCCCCACCCCACCCCGCCATCCATTCCTTCCCCTGAAATGTTAGCATGGTTATTTCAAGATGCTTTCCTGTGCCAGGGCTTTGGGGCTGTACAATGAAGATTTGGGGACAACTAGACAGCTGTGTGCACTGGGGCAAGGAAACCCTTCTGTCCCCCCCGCCCCCCCGCCTGTGGATGAGCCACACCACACTTATAAAATGCTGACATGGGGAAAACTGGGTTCCAGGGGCAAATCACGGCCTCTGATCAGAGATTCTTCCTCGAGGGATGCCAATCCCTGGCCACCTTCTCCATCAGCCTGTGTTCATATTGGAAGCTTCTCTGACTTTTGACCTTTAAAAGAAAAAAACCAGACAAATGTGTTTTGTTTTTTGGTTCCTTCTTACTCCTACCACCATCTTCTTCATTCAGTCTGCCTGTTTCTAGAAGTTCACCCCCAAGTTCTGGCCTCCTGCAGCCAACATTCCCACAGCCCCCTCTCCACATGAGGCTGATCCCACAGAAGCTGTTTCGGGTACAGTGGTTTGGTCCAACTGCAGAATTTGAAATTGGTGGCTCATGGACTATGTCAAGGCTCCCACGTGGTGAGGTTTTTGGCTTTTCAGTTTTTGCTGTTTTTAACCTATACAATGTTGACTTTTTAGAAATTCATTTATCAATGTCAAAACAGAAAAAAAGAAAGATCTGCCCTCCCTCCCCCCCCACCCCCACCGGGACCTACATTTCCAAATGGCAAGCATTAGCTAAAGCCAAGTAATGGCTGGTCTTGGGACAAGGCACAGACTCCTGAGTTGGCCCAGTGCCCACCCTTCCTCAGCTCACCCACCAGCGCACTCACTCTCTTTACCCACCCGGCCCCTGAGGGCCGGTCAGTCCACGATCTCTCGTCTGTATCAGGACACCGACGAGCAGATCCTGGGAGCCCAGTAATGGCCATCCCACACCCCCAGGGCGGCTAGTCTGAACCTATGTTTCCAAAAGAGCTGCCACTAACTGCACGTGACTACCGAGCACCTGATATGTGGTTAACGTGACCACAGCAGACTTTACAATGTTTTTATTTAATTTTTCATAATTGTTTAATAGCATAAAGTTCTACTGGACAGTGCTGGTCTAGACCAAGAGAGATCCTAACACTGAAAGATTCTGTCCGCCATGGGCACATGTCAGTCTGTGACTTTCCGTGGGGTCAGAGCAGGCATCTTCATTCTGGGGGCTCCTGCCTTAGCGCCTCTCTCAAAGGGCTCCCCTCCTCTGAACAGAGAAGCCAAGCAGGCCCAAGGACTGAGTCCCAGGCTCTCGTCCTGTCTCTCCCGCTCCCATGGAGCAGCGTGCAGAAAGTCACTAGCATGTCCTTTACGTGCTGAATAGAATAGATCTAAGACGGAAATCCAACTCTCCTGACTCCAAATGCTGTGTTTATGTATGCAGAAGACAACACTATCCAACAAACCAGCTATCCTCTTGTAAAACACGGGGCCGTTTCTGAAAGCAAACACCACGGAAGCTAAAGGGATGGATTCTAAGGTGCTCTCCAGCATGCTAGTGTTTTGAAAGGCAGGTTTGGTCCATGTGACTTGAGTTTCGGTTTCAGAGGTATTCTTCCCGTCCCTTAAAACAGTCCAACTTCCAGGCTGAAAATTCACATGTAAGAAGTTCATCGATGCAGAGAAGCGTCCTTTAATTCCTGGTTCTTGTCACAGCCCACATCTCCATATGCTAAGGACCCCTTGCCATATGTGTGGCAAGTGTGCCATGGATTATAACTTCTTTTCTGAGGATTTCCATGCAATTTCCTGACTCTAAGACTTGTGAGACATTGGAAATTGCCAGACGAGTCTGTGGAATTTTGTTCAGTGGAAATAGAATTACAGAATCTTAAGGCTAAAAGAAAGCTTCCAAGTCCATACCTGCCAGAGGCTGGGCCAAAGCTAAGCCTCCTCTAATAGATACGCACCTGCGAACGTGCTACCCCTTCCCGTCCTGGGTCTTTCATGTCCCAAGCGTTTTTTCTTTACTCAATTCACTTCTTCATCTTTTCGTTGTATTATTTATTTTCCTTTCAGAAACAGTAACTATGCCGTAACAGGTTTCCTAAGTAGATTTCACCTTGTCTTTGCCAAATCAAGAAAAGAAGTCACTATGATGTGACTGAGAATGTGGGTGTGGGGGAAGGTGGCGAGGACTCAGCCCAGCTGCCTTGCTGCCTCCCACACCTCTGCCTCCCATCTCCCCAGAACCCAGAGAACACAGCACCTCCAAGCCTGAGGGGGAAACCACACTCTGGGGCAGCGACAGCAACTCCCATTGCCTTTGAATCGATTGCTCACACTGCAGGGGGCCTTGGCCAGAAGTGGCAAGGACCATGGTAGCAAGACAGAATTTGAAAGAGAACAGGTTTGGATAAAATCTTTGTGCATGCCCTCTTTCCTTGCCCTCCCCAGAGGATCAGATGGGCAGGTGGCTTCCAGAGAGCAAACAAAAGACATTGTTGCAAATCATTGTGTGTGTCAAAAAAGGTGGGAGCCATGGGAAGTAACTACTCTTGGTCTTGGCTGTCTATGGGCAATTAAGGATCGAAGGTAGGAGCATGAAGTGTTGGTATGGATGTGGCCCCCCATAGGTTGGGGGACAAGGTCCCCATAAGGCCAACAAGGTGGTGATGGCTACAATTAGCAAGGGGGTCTCGGGGAGAAATGCACCAGCAATGGAATCAGCATCCAGTGCAGGGAG